TGTCTGATGGTAGCCTTGTGAGGCGAGAGTTTTTTTAACCAGCTTGACTGTAATGGTCATTTCCAAATGAATATGCATACTCGAATATCATGATGTACACCTTAAATACATGTGATTTTTACTTTTTTAAAATGTGGCTGAAGTAACAGGAGCACTGAGAATTCAGCAGTGAGTAAGCCAAGTAGCCAGGTTGAATTGGAGATAGGACTGGAGCTGAGGCCTTAACAAGTATACAGCACTCTGCCGAATTTGGGTACTGTAAGAGGAAAAACAGTGGTATTCCAAAAAGAGGAACTGGAGAGGATAGTCAACAGACTAAAATGGCTGGTAAAAGTCTGTAATAGTCAGACATTATAGTTTTGGTGAAGTACTCCTGGGTGAGCATTTTCTGGACCCTTCCAAATTCTAAGAAGTTTCTGGAGCTTTGGGGAGGGTATGAGAAGCGGACAACATGGTCTGACTTTAGAAAGCTTATTTTTTATTTGGAGAGAAGAGGTGGGAACATAAGACAAAACTGGAGAATGTAAGCAAGTAAGTACACAATACAAAGAGGGGAAAGAAAGGCAGGATTTCTGGAGCATACGAAGCTTGAATTACTTCTCAGGAGAACCATGGATATGATTGGTGTTTGGAAGCACCTATATCATCCCCTGCATTAAAGAGGGAAATTTCAATATGCATATAATACAGGACCGTGGATTATTCCTCTGTACTTGGTCTTTATTAACTTTTTACTTCCTTCCTTGTCATTTCTTATAGGAAATCAAACAGGGACTAGAACACTTGATTAAACATGACTGCCCATAGAGATCTGGACGCAGAATAGTGAGTGCCTGCTCTTATTTGTGTCTGATGATTTGCTACCTCTTCCTCATTCACTACCGTTGTGTTGCCATTCTTCCTACAGTGGATAACTGATCTAATTAAGAGCATAAAAGGTAAGATTAAGGAATGACTTCTAGACTCTACCCTGTTAGTCACCATGTCCTCCAGCGAAAAAGTTACCAAGTCCTGTGGACTTTTGACATTCTAAATATTTCTCAGCCTCTTCACTGCTCTCTCTGCTATTTCCTCTGCTGCTGGATTCAGATCATAACCATTTCTCACCTCATTTATGCAATAACATTGCAATTCCCTGCCTCCTGCCTCTCTTTTCTTCAGTCCTCAATTTCATCTCTCACAATCGAAATTACTTTTCAAAAACACAGATTCACTTTGTACCTCTAGTGAAATCCTTCTGAGCTTCTTTTTAGCCTATAGGCAAAGTCCAAACTCCTTTGGCTGGGAGACTGAACCTTTCAGGTTCTAGCTCCTGCCCACCTCTTGGTTTCATATTTAGTCACTCCTAAACAAAAAATGAGTCCCATCCATTATGTGTGGTTCCTTTTTTAAGGTCTCATGATTTTTTTTTTTTCATGTTGGAGAGTTGCTTGGCTTACTTCAAACTGCTGAACTCCTACTCAGCCTTCAAAACGCCTTCATTCCTGGTCACTTCAGCTATGCGTTCTCTCTAGCACCTTTTCCATTGTGCAAATACAGCACTTTTTAGAGGTATCATCATGGATTATAGAGCCTGCCTTCTCTACTGGGCTGTGTGTTGCCTAACAAAGGACTTTTGGGCTCCCTTGCTCCGGTATGAGGACACTGCTGGCAAACAGGCCCTGCAGAAGCAAGGTACTTAGTGAGGTCTTCCCCCACCCTCCCATCCCCAACTCCACAACTTGCAAAGGTCGACAGAAGTGCTGTGAGGGGTTAAAATCATCAGGAGAAAGAGTGAATTAGAAAATGAAAAACAGAGGAGGAAAAAGACAGGAAAGTTAATATATGGCCTTGCCAAGATGGTTGGGAAAGGAAGTTTATCAGGAGACAGTTACTTCCACAATAGGAAAGGCTTTCAACTGCTAAAAAGGCCAATCCGTTTTCCTTTTAAGGGAAAACAACACTGTTATCCAAATCTTTTGGAAATGAGCAAATTCCTTCCTTTTCTCTTCAGCTTCACCTAGAAAGGTTTTCAAAATGTGGTGACCTGGAGTTGGTAGCCCAGCACGGGAGTTCACAGGCCCTGGACAGCCTCAGGGGCTGGCTAAGGGAAGCTGGAAGAAACCCACCTTTGTTCTTTAATATTTTACCTGGGGAATGACAGATCTAACATTAAACCTCCTGAAAGCTGGTTAAAACCCTAACAGTGTGGAGAACTGGAGACCTCTAGCATGCAGGTCATAATGATCAGAAAGTCTTTTGAAACCATTTCGTTGTAACCTAACCATGGAGTCACTTGGGTGGCCAATATGGAAACGAAGAGTCTGTTCTGTTTGGTCTTGCGAGCAAACGGCACGAGCAAACAAGTTTTACCATATGAAGGCACAGAAGGTCACTTATTTTTCTGATTGTTAAATGAACACATGCCAAATGATTTCAATTTAGAAAGCAGTTTCTTTTTTAAGGTAAAATAATAATTAAAAAGCATTTAAAAACGGCGTTTTATTTCGTTTACCAAAAGCTTCCAATAACGTGTCTGGTTCTTAGCTGGGTGAACATGATTATATAATCCTCCTCACACAAGGTTTGATGATTATTAATCTGCAGATGAAACTGACCAGCTCAGAGAGGCCACCGGGTACCTTTTGGGAAGGGACCCAGGGGTGATTTGAATACAGGTCTTACCTCCAGTTTCTGAGACCTTTCCAGACACCAGGTTCTCTCTTCAAACCCTGCTGCAGATAAAACCTAACAATTGTGATACTTTCGAGGTAAGGGGAACCTGAGGGATGGGAAGGAGGCCTGAATGTATAGGAATGACTACGAGGGCGCACTTATCCCATTTTTCATTTCTTAAAAGGATTGCCTGAGAGGAGATCATTTAAAACACGACTTCTGTAAAACCAAGGTGAAAACAAGGAAATTAACAATGCAGAATGGCTCCGAGAAAGACTTGACGAAGTTGTTAATAAGGCGAAGGCCGGAAGAGATTCACCAGGGCCTCCTACTTCATTTATATCAACGATTAAATAAGCACAACAGGGGGCAGAGGCAGGTATAAAGCGGGCTCTCGCGTGGCTGCGGCGGTTGATATTCCGGGCACTCGGTGTTCCAGATGCTTCCTTACGGTTTGCCTGTCTGTGTGGCTCGGGCTCCATATTCCACTCGTTTCCCCCTCAACGTTTTAATCTCGCTCACAGGTACCCCAGACGCAGAAGGCGCCGGGACCGGCGATCTCTCTAAAAACGGTGGTCTTTTGTAGGAGGCGGCAGCCAGGGCTTCCCTTTTGGGGTCCCCAACCCACCCCACGCCGGCCTCGCCCGCCGGGCCGCGGCGGGAGGTGGCCTTTCCGTGCGTTGGGGCGC